TTTTTTGTTTAATTGAAGTAAATGTTTTTATTTATTAACAATAGGCCAGAACATCTAAGTTTGCAAGTCTTTTATTTTTATTATATTTTCCTTATTTGTTGCAAATTTTACATTAAAAAATGTATTAATTCTAGTAAAAAATTTTATATTCTTATAAAGTTGTTTCAAATAACTAAGATTTTAAAACCTTAAGTTAAATGTTCCTAAGTATTTAACAAAAATAAAAATAAAAGAAGAAAAAAAGAAAGTTACTTTGTTGATTTTTCTATTATATGAAAAAAGATATAGATAAAAATATAAATTTTATTTTTTTATTTAAAAATATAATTTTTTAATTAGATGATAAATTTTTATTTTTAAATAAAAATATGAATTTTAATATTTTTCTATTTAAAAATTTGTTAGATAGTGACAGTAACATAATAGATGACAATCTTAACTGTTATAGAATAAGCTTTGTATTCTAAATAGAAAAAAAAAAAAAATGGTTTACCACATAATATATAAACTTGAAAAATTTTGTATCATTAAACAAAATATGACAAACTTCATTTTTTTAATACGGTCTCTTTATTATACATTTGAGATAGGAAACCAAAATAATTATTATATTTTTTTATTAAAAAATATTATTTTTTTAAGATACAATAATTCAATTTTACAGTTTGATGGTCGATATAATATATTTTTTTTATGTTGATACAATAATTGAGTTGAAAATACATATCGATGGCAGGAAAATGATGTTTTTTTCGTCTCTTAGTAATTGTTAATGGCTACATACAATTCAACCAACCTTTCACATGCACCACGTGACTTAATTAATTCGAGTCTACCCTGTTATCTGGCTTTTTGTCAAATCCACATCTAAAGAAAATATATAAAAAGAAAGAAATAAAATAACAGATATGGTGAAGATAAAAAAAAAAAAGATAACAGATATGGTGCGTAACTTGTGTATTTATTGTATGAGTGCTTCAGCTACATCATTAATTTCAAAGCTCTTGTTCTCTATTTGCCTTTCCCTTCTCCCAATTTCCCTAGTTCAATAAAAATTAAAAAAAATGAAATAAAATAACAAATATATATTATAGTTATAATTAATATTAAATTTATTTAAATTTATTAAATATTTATTTTAATTTAATTATTAAAATAATTAATAATTAATAAAATATTTATTATTTATTATTTATTATATTAAAATTAATTTATAAATAAATATTTTTAAATTTTATAATTAATTATTTAAAAATTTATAAACAGATAAAATTATTTTAACTGACCTTAACAAAATGTGGTAACAATAACTTCATCCATTTTTTTGCCATATAAAACTAGAGCATAAATAAAGAGAAGGCTCCTTAATGTCCAGTTCTTGTCTGATATAAGAATTGATTTTTTTATAATTTAATGCAATTCAAATTATAAGAAGGAAAACTCTTAAAATAAAAATTTTTTTAATAATTTTTTGCATGCACACACATAAATATTTTAAACTAGTTTTAAGAGTTGAATTTATATTGATAAGTAAATGTACGTCTTTTTTTTTTTTAATTGACAACAAGTATTGTCTTATAAATTAAGGTTTATATATAGTCCGAGTTTTAAGACAAACGCCCAAAAAAATTTAACTTTTTTAGTTACTATAAGTCAATATTATGATGTGCCCAATTATGCTGTTGCAATAACATTATCTAATCTTCACCTTAAAAATTTGTTTGGTTGGTAGTTATTTCTTAGAATTATAAGAGGTTATTCTTAATTTTTCTATGAAAATTACTAAATTTTAACTCTTTTTATAATTTGATCAAACAATGACCATTACCACCTCCAGCCAAACATGCCCTAAGAGTCCTAAGCCTTTATTAAAAAAAAAAAAAAAAGTAGGAAGATCCTTTGAAGCCGCTTAATGGTGCTTGTTGCAGGCATTTTTTTTTAACAGAAACAGTAGAATGAGAAGAGATCTAATTTCAACATGGGACAGGAAAAATGGAAGCAGAAAAAGTAACCTTAGATTGGACCGAAGAACATGGGAACATCATGTGACATGTTTTAAGTAAAACAAAGATCAAGTCATCAAGAATCAACATCAATAATATCAATCCGTGTTTAAAGGCTAGCTTGTTGTTCCTTTCCAGATCTTTGGATTTGCCTAGGGAAGAAATGGTTGTTGGTACCATGAATGGTTGTTGGCACCATGAATGGTTGTTGGAATAATAGGATTCTGCCTCTTTCCAATCTATACATGCCCATTCGCCGCAAACAACACTAAGCCAACCCCTACTTCGAATATTTTTCCATTCCCATGTCTTCATCCTTTGTATAGTCTGACCCAGATGGATGCAAGGTATATATGTACTTTTTAACCAGCTGGAGTAGCCGATGTTTTCAATTTCCGTGTTCAAAAACTAACAGCTAGATTGGCAATACATAGCAAAGTTTAGCCTAGTTATTAGCTGTATGACATGATTAACTTGATATCAAGTAACTGTAGTAACATTGCATTTTATATGTGAAAATTAATAATTAAGAATTAATCCAACTTTAATTAAGAAAAATAGGAATGCTTAATTAGTTTCAAAACTGGACTCAATTGATCAATCTGCAAAATATGCAAATAATACAGGAATCATATAGGATGGTCATGAAAACATCCTAAAGGGAAATATTCATTAGAGTTCACGATTTATAGACGCTGATGGGACTATCCCAACTACATTAGTTCATATTGAGTATCTTCTTCTGGATATTAAAGAATGAATTGCATTATGTCCTATTTCTAGAATCTTGGAAACACAAATCAACTAATAAACTAGTGAAATGATAATCACAGCCTATACATATATATATATATATATATATATTGACGTTTTATTTTTTATTTTTTCATTATCTTCTTCCATTTTTGCTATCAATGGATTATTGAACTTTTCCATCATAATCTAGTAAGTGTCGAGGTAGGTGGAAGAAGTGAGGTACCTCTTAAAGGTGCTAAATATCCGGTGAAGTTTTCAAAGGGTGCTTAATTTGAAAGGTGCTAAATTTAATGTTTGGTGTATTAATAATTGGCATGTTATTATTTTAGTTTCAAAAAGTTATTTTCTTTTTGAACAATTTACAATTTAAGAGATGAAGGATTTTTTTTAAAACATTGATGAGGATGAAAACCTGATCATTAAAGTCAAGTACTTTAAGATTTGGAGGCAAACCACTATGTCTGAAAACTAAGTTCTAAAATGTTTATTTTATTAATTTCTAAGTTACTAGAAAAACTTATTCGGTATAAAAAATATTAAAATGATCTAATTAGTTTTCCAAGTGCTATTCAATATTAGTGAGTACATGGTACGATGTAGGTACTACAACGTTTAAGAAAATTACATCTTAACCTATGAATAAAATAAATACCTTCTTTTTCTGACTCTATTTTTCATCTTAATAATTAACTATAACTCTTCCATTTTTAGTCATTGCTTTTCATTATCGAAATATAATTCTCTTAATTCACATGACATTTACATAATAACAAAGGGGCACTAATGTTGAATCTCCTTCTTTTTTTTTCTTTTTTTTTTTCTTTTTTTTTTTGGTACTAAGAGAGTTGGGAGAAAGAGAAGGGGAAATAAAGAATAAGGGAGTTTGAACCCAATAATTAAAAAAAAAAAACACTTATACAGTAACTAAACAAATCATGCACCAACATTCATATTGAATGTTATTAAGAAATTAAAAATATAATATACATTATTTTGATATACTTTTTGAAAATTTTAAATTAACTTAAAAATAAATAACATTTCATAGTAAAAGTGATAATGAGCCAATAATTAATAGACTTAACATTACAAGTCGGAAGGAGTCAACTAGGTTCGGCCCATGTTCATTGGGTCCTCCTCAAAAGATCTACAAAATTCGTCTAAATTGTTCAAATGATAGGCTTTTCCCTTAATAGACTAAACATAAGGTTGGAATAAAGTCAATTAAGCAATCATAATGTACTTTTAGCTTCTGTCTAATCTTTGCTGGTTTCTCCCTCACATGGCCACATTGCACTTCAATTATAATGGATGTCTTCATCACATGACCACATCGCTTTGCAGTTATAATGGAAGAAACTTAAATAATTAGAAGAATGGTAGGTAACTTGGTATACATAGTCAACCTTATGGCTGTTAGGAATAATAAGAGATCTCCATCTGAACCATCTCCATCTCCTCCTATGATATATGATGATTTGGTCGGGTATTATAGAAGCATTGGAAAGACACCCCTCTTGAGAAACAAACCACTCGCCATTAGCTATTCACAAATACACCATTCCTTCCCCTACTAGAAATAGGGTCTTATTCAGTCAAGTATCTTGATCGAATAAGTATGAATTTTGATCAAATAAAAAGTAATTCAGTCAAATTATTTAACCAAATTGTTGATCCGAATATCCACTATATGAAATAGTAATTCAGATAAAATTTCATCTTGACCTAATATGTTAGACAATTTTGGTCAAAAAATTTGACCGAAAATATTATTAAGAAATCTTTTATTTTAAACTATTTCGGTCAAAATATTTGACCAAAAATGTTATTAAGAAATATTTTATTTTAGACTATTTCAGTCAAATTTTTTGATCGACATATTATTTTCAAATTCAAAAAAAAATTAATATATTTGTGTAATTATAGTATA